CTGTAATCCATCCCAGGTCCTTCCAAATCTACTTACTATAAACAACATTAAACAAAAGAGCACATGTAAAGCCTTGGCGTGGTGCCTGGCATGGGGTATTTTAAAACGGTAGCTATTGTTAATTTCATGGAATCCTAATCACCATTAGCTTTCATTGTCCCTTGCTACTCAAGTGTGGTCCCTGCACCAGCAGCATCAACATTACCTGGCAGCTTGCTAGAAATGCAGAATCTCGGGCCCTGCCCCGGACCTGCCTCATCAGAACGTGCAGTTTAACAAGACGCTTAGTGAGTTCATGCACACGAAAGCTGGGGAAGCTCTGCTCTAGCCAATCCTGGTCCCTACGAGATGCCTGAGCCAGTCTGCACCCAGCATTCATCCAGTCTCCATAAACCTAACTCCCCGATGCCACTTGTCCCAGTATCAAAGTTTTTCTTACATTGAGCTGAATTTTTACAGTTCCCCGTTCTGTCTCTTGGGCACACACAAGAAACAAATCCTCTTCCTCGTGGCAAGCAGCAGGGGATGAGAACATGGTGATGGTAGCCATCAGGAGACCCAATAATGACAAGCAATTCCTTCTCCTTCCGAGCAGGCCTAAGGGCACAGGCCAACACGGAGACAACAGTAATACGGCTGCAGCCAAAGAGGAAAGCTAACACTAACCAACAACGAGGACCTTCCTGCTCTGCTCTGAGCTCCACTTCTTGGGGAAGTCATCTCACTGCTACTTCTCATTGCATAATTAACAGCCTTTACTGCAGGGCGGTCACGCTGATCAGGAAGCCACAAGCTGGTCAGCAGTCTGTGCTGAGGCTGTAGTGTAGTGCTTCCCAGTCTGTCTGTGTTTGGTTTACTAGAGTATGTGTCTGTCTCCCCAAGGAGACCACAAACTCTTTGAGGATGAGTGATTGTGTGCCTGGCGCATAGCAGATGCTCAATAAATATCACTGAATTAATCTGAATTGAAATATGGTAGTCCTCAGGAATTCAGATTATTTTCTAATAACAAAGTGGTAGGCTAAAAATAATTAATTTTCCTAATTTGGGGAGACTTTCTGAAGTTCACAGTTAACCCATTCATTTAACCAGTATTTGTCACGTGCCAAGACATTTTTAAATGCCAAAGTAATTATAAAGATGAATAAGACTCTTCCTGCCCTTCAAGAAACCCACAGTCTAGTTAGAGAAGAAGAGACACAAATAAATTATTTAATATAATGTGTATGTGCAACTGTAGGGATGCAGGAAATTATATGGATTCTCAAGAGCAGAGCTAGCTCTTCCTGGGGGTAAGAAAATAACATTTAAGATAATAATAATGAAGGTTTGTCTAATATTTTTTTTCTCTTCAAAGTACACATTAGCTCATTTAATCTTTATAGGAAACCTACAAGTAGACACGATCATCTTTGTGAAAAATGAGAAAACAGATTCAGAGAGTGTAAGGAAAAAAAGAGAGAGAGAGTACATAAGAAATTAGCCCAAGACCGCACAGCTAGGAAGTAGCAGAGTGAAGACTTGAACTCAGATCTCCAATCTCCAAATCCCAAGACAATCCCTACCTCTTTTTAAAAAATGATATTGCCCTGCCAAGTTTTACACTTAGTTTTCTTTGCAATGCAGCTGATGGCTATACGGGATATAAAAACAGGGTAACCAGGTAACCATTTAGAATGAGCAGGGGAGCTCTGGGAAGACAGGTGGTGGAGGGTATGGCAGGATCAGCCACCTGCCTGGCCCTTCTCCGTCATTGTTCATTACTTTCTGGCCCTGGTTCAGCCTTCCTTCTTGTTCTTCAATCTTAGAATTCATGTTCCAACAAGACCAGGAAAAAGACTACAGGCATAAGAGAAAGGAATCATTTTCTCACTTGACAGAAGACCTGAGAGGGAAAAGAAAGCCGTGGAGAACATTCTTTTAGTGTAGTGATGCCAAATGGCATTTGGGCACTCAAGATTCCCTCCGCCATCTGGTCTAAAATGGCCTTTCCGATCTTAGTTCCCTTTTCACTGCATGGGAAAGGCATTTTACTTTGAGGCTAGATCATCATACCAGGCCATAAGATAAATACCACATTGAACCAATCTTTTCCCTGAAAATCCTTTAAATTTCCCCAAAGTGCAGCTCTCGCCACCGGAAGCAGAGAGCCTAGGACCCACTGTGGACATGAGGTCTCTGTCTCATGCTCACTCCAGGACAGACACTCTTCAAGTAGGATAGCCTGCACTCTTGATTCTTCTTTCTATCCAGATTATATGTGGGATTTAACATATGTGTAATGGAACACCGCGGTACTTGCTTTTCCCCAAAGGAGCAAGCAGGACCTGCTGTTTCCCTTGATCTGGACTGTCCTTCCTCTGCATCTTCCCATGGATACACGCTACCTCCTTGGGAAGCCATTCATGACCAGCACCTCCACCTTTCTCTGCCTGAAAAAAGTGAGCAGTAATCTGGACTTTCCCTGCACCAAATCTATTGCTTCTAAGGACCTGGACACTAACTGCCACACAACGAGTTCATCGCACCCTAATCACATATGACTTCCTAGAAGGCTATACCCTTTCTGACAGTAGAATTGATGCATGGCTTATCTTTGCATCCTGAGAGACTGACACCAGGCCTGGCATATAGTAGGCCCTCAATATTTATTTAAACAAATGGATACTTATAAAACGGTAATTCCACACTAACTTTCTGTTTGGGGGTCTTATGTATGAAACATAATGAACTGTTACCAGACCTCACCTCACCGGTATCCCATCAGAAGCAAAGCATTTCTGTTGCTCCCTCGTCAGGGATGGGGCACCGGTGAAAGGAGATTTGGGGACTTAAAAACATTTGACAACCACAACTGTGCGGAATGAGAGCGATCTGAAAGAAACCATTTCCTGCCCCACCTCACCACCTAGTTTTTCACAAGGAGGCCTAGAAACAGGTGGAAGAAGCAGAAGAAAAGAAGTAGAAAATAAAAGCCATGTGAGTGCCAACTTCTAATACTGCCCAGATTCTTCCTAATTTTCCTGGAAAAGAGATTTCCTTTTCATGAGTTCTTCCTTGTGGTTTAGGAGCAGACAATTTTGGGATGAGTTTTCTGATGCCAGCAGCCCAGCTGATCACAGCCCCACCATCAGTGGAGCTTACTCCGAAGTCAGGATTTCCTGGGAGCCCATATTCAAATGGAAATGAGTATCTGCAACAACGCACATTGCTGTTTCCCAGACATCACCTTTTCTGCCATTTCCTGATGCTTTCAGACATTTCAACCCCCCCCCCCCCATGAGCAAATCACAAAGTACTGCAAGGTGCAGAAATGAGAGAAGAAGAGCTTATTCCTCCTTGTGGGTATTAACCACAGCACCTAGGACAGCCCTGCCCAGGCCTGCAGGACCGAGGGCGGGGACTGGGACTACCCCACAAAGGACGGGGTGATGGGTTGGGGGGCTGGGGGTTGTGCCCGAGCGCTGGGCGAGTGCAGCTTCATTTCTTCAATAATACCAGTGTCCTCCTTTGAGCCTCTCAAGCATCCAAGGAGATACTCACCAAACATAACATCTCCTAAAGCCACCATCAGCTTCCTCATGCCACCGAGTTTGATTCTGTACTCCCTAGGGCTTTCAAGGGGGAGGGGCAGGCATGTGCCTACTTTGAGGGGGTCCCTGTCACCCCCATTCCAGGACTGAATGTAGGTGGATCGGGTGCCTCTTCCAAATCCAGTTTGGCTACATCACAAACCTACTTTCCCATAATCCTTACTGCTGCCTCATAGAATAGGTGTTGTTATCCCCATTTTACAGATGGGGAAACTGCAGTCCAGAGAAATGAAATGCATTACTGAGTACACACACTTATTAAATACAGGGCTCCAGATTACAACTTGGGGGTGCTGGATTCCATAGTCCACGCTGCTTCTGCTAGGCCAAACGGCCTCCTCCCTGAGCAAATCTCCACATAAAGGGCAGTGAGCCGGGCAGCAGTAGCTGCAGGACACATGGCAGGCTAGAGGCAGAGGTGGGACTGGCACCACCTTCTCCTAATTCCTTCTCGGTGTTCTCTGCACTGAGCTGCCCAATGTCTCCAGGTGGGGACTGTCCGGCCCTCACGTGTCCTGGGCTCATCGTCATCTATTAATTTCTACTTAGTGAGTAAAACAAACACACAAAGATGTAAGCCTCATTGGCTTTCCTCTTAAACCACAGCTCCTTTAGCTGCTCTGGCCTTTTTGCTCTTATTGGTGCTCAAAACCAGCTGTCGGGGTAGCTCTTTCTAAAATGAAAGCCTGGCTCTGATGCTCCCCTGTCGACACTTCCCACGGATCCTCACTCCTCTCCGAATGAACTCGGACCCCCTCACTGAGGTGTGAAAGGCTCTTCGTGCCTCACCCCGCTCTTCCCTGCCAGGCCAGTCTCACTTCCCAGCACTCTATTTTTTTTTTTTTTTTTTTTTTTTTACTCATTTCCTTCCTGAAACTTATGACAGCCATGTAGTCAAAGGGTTTAGCAAATTTTTATGTATCCCTAGAATTCTCAGTCCTTCCATTTTAGCCTGGAGATATCCCGTGCTTTTATCAAGGACCATCCATGCTTTTAACATGTTACCCCTTTTGAGAAGCACACCCCCACCTTTGTACCCACCCCCACGCCCCACCATGGCACAGCACCCTGTCTCACACACATTCGTGTGCATGTTCTGGCTCCTCCAGGGATGGGCGCTATCGTCTCTGAAAACCCACTGATGTGAGCAGAGTGCTGAGGTCAGTGAGCACTTGTTGATTCACTGGACTCAACACTCATTTCCATAGGGATGTGGCAACGTGCTGGTTTTATTTATGGCAAGCCAAGGCTGGCTCTAAGTGGCAGTCATTTCCCCAGTTTTCTGGTGTGTGTATGTGTGTGTCGTGTGTGTGTAGGTGTGTGACAGCCAAAGCCAGAATCCACCTTTAACACAGGAAAGGAGAGGAAGGGGGACACGGTCACTCCAGTGGCCAGGGTGGTGCTTACCTGTGATCATGCTCAGTGCTGACAGGCATGCTAAGGCTTGGATATCAAGGTTCAGGCTCTGCAAACTTAAGGAAAAGTCTTTAATGGAGTCGAGCCACTCCCCAAATCCACGAAGGCACTGAAGTCGATGCAGGACAAGTCCATTGCAGAACACAAACTTATCTTCAGCAGTGTTCGACCTACAAGACAAAGTCAAAGGGGTGGGAGATAGAGACACATCAAATGGGTGTGTTCAGTCTGTCCAACATCAGAACACAAAGGCACCTAAACAGCCATGGGACAGTGTTCAGAGCCCAGCCTGGTGCTATGGAACCTTCCTAGATACTCCTGATGGACAAGACTGTGCTCCTGGGATCACCCACCACCGCCACCTGTCTGCGCTGTCTGGGTGAGCGGCAGCCCTGGGGAGCGGGGTTGTGGGGGGAGCCCCTGCTCTCTTATTACTCAAATCAGGTGCTGTCCCGCCAGGGATGGGACGCAGAGTAACAGGCACTCTGGGAGGATGGAAGTGAAGCCCCAGGCACCGCCTCTTTCTGTAGTGAACGCGAGCTTGTTCCCTTCAGGGCTCCTTGGCCAGGACTTCTCCCTTTTATTCTTAAATGTCAAAAACTGATAAGACCCGAGACTAGACACTACAATTCCACTGTGCAGACTCGAAGAACACCAAGTCCTTGCAACTGCCAGAAGTCAATCACAGAAATAAAAAGGGATGCAAAATCAAAGTAGGCGTTGTTTTAGGTCTCCTTCTGTACTTTTAGCAGTGTGGCTGCAGAGGGCTATTTCTAAACCTGCCTGATAGTTTACATCATGTCCATCATCATCTTGTTCCTCTCTCATGAAAAGTGCCCTGGAACACCAAGACGTCACCACTTAGCCGTGGGGCCTGGGAGACTCCTTTCATCTCTCCTTTTCCTTCTCTATAAAACAGGAATTCTGATTACTACGTCCCAAGATTGTTGTGGGAATTCAATAAAGGATCTGAAAGCCCATGCACAGGGCCTGGTACATAAGAGGAGCTCAATGAGTGTCAGGCGTAACTAATTCTGAATTCTCTATGGTCCTTACTTGAATCTTACCTTTCCTTTAATTTTCCAGTCTCTTGCTACATACTTCTTTCTTTCAGCTCATTGCGCTAACAAGTTAATATCTCTTGATTTGGGCTTCTTGGATGAATAGCTTTATTCATTCATTCACTTAGCAATTATGTCCTTAGCACCAGGTATGTGCCATCCCTGGAAACAGGCACTGGAGAAAACTTGGTGAGAGTGCATATGTGGCACCTGCCTGCATACAGCTCATCCCTTACTTCATCCTTTGCTGCCTGCCTAATAGAGGACAGTCCCATTGCTGGCTTGGCTTCTGTGCACACCAGACTGGCTGTAATTATGCTAATGACTGACTCCCTAGATGTAACTCCAGCTCTGTCTCTCCTACAGATCCTGCCACGGAGGCACACACAGGAAAGAATGGTTCAGGCTTAGAGTTTAAAACCTGGACCTCAGGCCACTGGCATCAGAATCGTGGGAGCATGAGTTAAAAATGCAGATTTCTGGACTTCTTCCCAAAGTAGCTCCAAACCAAAATAGCTGAGAATGAGGCATGGGAATCTGCTCTTCAAACAAGAGTTTCTGGTAACACCGTAGGAAGAGCTTAGAGAGAAGCTTGGATCCCAGGTCCCAGCTTTTTGGAAAATCACTGCCTCTCTGTCTTTGGTGTCACTGAGTAGGAGACATTGGACCAGATCTCTTGATCCAGAAGCTATTCTCTTGGAGTAAACATTGGGGGTTGAGAAGCTGTGGGAACTCTTTAGAGCCCCATCTGGTGTACTAGAACAGTCACTCGTTAAATAGAAACCCATGAGGTAAATGCAATGTTCAAAACAAATACTCGCCTACCAGGAAATACCTTATGCACCATGAGAGAATCTTCCTAGAATCATAGAATGTTAGAACTGCCCTGGGCTTCAGAGATCAACAGATCTAACCTCCTCGTTTCACAAAGCAAAGTGAATTTCAGGGGAGGCTAGTGACCAGCTCAGGGTCTTACAGCAAGTCCATGTTGCAACTGAGACTAGAACCCGGGAGTCCTGGCTCTCAGGCTAGTGCTCTCACCCACGGCCCAGTTTCACTCACGCCTGACCATACTTCCTATTTCCTTCCTGAGCAAACTTTTCATCGATGACTCCGTTACAAACACAGCAGGTTTCCAACTTCTTCAAAGCAAGGGGAGAACTTAAAAAAAAAAAAAAAAGATAAAATCATCATAATTACCTGATGGAAAGTCTGAGAACAAACAGCTCCAAAAAGGCTGATTCTATAAGTAATGTCTGATCTTCTTTGGGGAGATCAGTAAATCCAGGAATCTTTTCTGCCCAGCTTCTGGACACATCAATGGAGGCTGTCAGGAGATTGTAGAACTGTTGCACGTGCTCAGCATCAGTTCCTGCAGCGGCCTGTTCGGCGGGACAGTACTAGAAGGCAAACCACAGAGAGCCACGTTAGCTCAGTTCCATGGGGACAGCAGCACCATTTGCAAATAGGCTTTTCCAAGACTGTCAGTGCCTAAATCCTCATTTTTAGGTCCCACGGTTATAAAACCTTTTTTTTTTTTTTTTGCATCTGATTTTCACCATGTAAACAGCAAATTTTGCCACCTCTTAACAGACAAAAGAAATCTGAAGTCCCATTAGTGCAGTAGTTTTCAATCCTGGTGCAAGACTGAAATCAAGTTTAAAAAAAACACCATGTCTAGCTCATCCGCACAGAGATTCAAGTTTAACTGGTCTGGTGTGGGGGACTGGTCATCAGGAATTTCAAAGGCTCCCCAGGTGATTCCAAAGAGCAGCCATTGTTGAGAAGAACCATTAGCCCAGAGGTTTGTGTCCAAGTAGGCCTCCAGGGTCTACTGATTCCACTAAAGCACAGCTGTCTCTAAGATGCTAATTAAGCCACAGTTCTCAAAGTGTAGTCCCCAGACCAGCAGCACCTGGGAATGTGCCGGAAATGAACATCTTGGGCCCCACCCCAGACCTACGGAAGCAGAAACTCTGAGGGTAGGAGAGACTGTTTTATGGAGATCTCCAGCTGATTCTCATGCACACTGGAGTCTGGGGACCACAGAATTAACCAATAGGAGAAGAGAATGATTTTTGCTTGCCACAGGTGGATTTCTGTGAGGTAAAACAAACCAGGCTGGGGAGGGGGGTGGTGTTTCCTTAGCAGGGCCCAGGCAGTCATGTGCCATCAGACTCAGGACTTGTGGCAACTTAAATTCATGAAAATTAAATAAAATATAAAGCCCAGTTTCTCAGCCACATTGGCCATATTTCAAGTGCTCCAAAGCCATGTGTGGTGTAGAACATTTCCATCACTGCAGAATATTCTATTGGACGGCGCTGATCTAAAGATCCCAGGAGAAGAAAGGTACAAGTAGGAATACAGTCCTTGTCCAGCTTTTGGATATTCTGGTAGAGTCAGGGTTTTGCTTGAGTCACTGGAGGAAAAAGTCTTTCCTGCTTTTGGCAGGAAGATTGATATAGCAAGATAATAATCAAGGGACAACCAACAATACAGAGACTTAAGAGATCTGCAGAAATACTCATGTACATATGTGCCCTAACGCAGCCTTGGGTGCGTTTGTGGCTTTCTCTCAGTTCCTCCTGGGGTATGGATTTTAATCTGTATTTTACAGATGAGAAAAATGAGGCTCAGGGGGACTCAGGGAGGCTAAGAGACTTTCCCAAGGCACACAAGCAACAGTGGTCCAGCCAACACTTAAACATGGCCCTGTGACTTCCACTCCTACACTTCCTGGCTGGTTTGTTTTTTTTTTTTAAGATTTTATTTATTTATTTTTCAGAGAGAGAGAGAGAGAGAGAGAGAGAGAGCATAAGCAGGGGGAGTGGCAGGAAGAGGGAGAAGAAGGCTCTCTGCTGAGCAAGGAGCCCGATGTGGGACTTATCCTAGGACTCTGGGATCATGACCTGAGCTGAAGGCAGCCGCTTAACCGACTGAGCCACCCAGGCACCCACTTGCTGGCTGTTAATATGTCTGATGTTCCTAGCTGGTAGCCTGTGGCATAGTTTTAAAAAGCATTTTGCTTTGCTCTAATTGGAGGTCTCCGCGTGTGTATTTGGTCCCATGTTTTGTCAGCAGCACAGTGACTGGCACATAATTGACCCCCAGTAAGTTGTTGAATATTGTTCAGTGAAAGAAGAGGTGTGGGGGGACGGTGCATAGGTTTGTCACAATGCCCTAACCTGGCTGGTGGAGGAACAGCCAGCAAGCACCAGGTGCTGACTGAGGAACTACTTAGATGGGAGGAAATGAGGCACTTGTCTTAACTGGGTCTCTTTTTTTTCCCTGTGTGCTTTCCCAAGAGGCATCATGAAATAGCAAGACACCATCAGACAAGAGGCCCAGCTGCTTTAATCCTAGATTTGTCCAGGGCCCGATTTTGTGAAAGAATGTAGCTCTGCCTGTAGATACCTGGGATAAATTACTTCGTTTTTCCAAGCCTCAGTTTTCTCCTCTGCAAAATGGGGATAATACCCTCCCCAAGATTCCGTTGTAAGGATTATATGTGATGATATACTTGAAGGGCCCGACATAAGGAAGATATCTAGCAAATGACAACAGCGATGATACTGATAACGATTATGATCCTTGGAACTAACACTGGCCCTCCACTTCCATATTTATAAAATGGGGAAAGGGGCTGAACCTGAAGGTTTCTAATTCTCAGCCCTGACTTTCTAGAATCCTATAACATCAGGTCCAGTTCAGAGTCCTGGCTCCTCTTTCTCAATAATCCCACCCAGGGCTTGGAGTCTATGAAGCCCTGGATGTTTCTGGGCTGTGACTGGACTTCTTGGGAGCAAAGTCCGGGAGTAGGAAGCAGTCCTCCTTCCCACAGATAGTCAAAGATGGTGGCATGATCCTGATGTCACGACACGTCCCCCCACCTCCTTTCAGCCCATAGACTACTAACTGGAAGAGAGTGGAAAAAGAGATTTTATTTAACTGTTTTTTTTTTTTCCTTTCCACTTTCTCTTCTTCTATGAATCTAATTCCATATACTCTCCAAGGACAGGAGGAAAATGAGAGCAGAACCCCCTTTAGAAAGCTGACAGCACTACATGTGAAACTCCCGAGTGGTATCTGGAGTGGAGTAAAGAAGGTTGGACTAGGCAGCAGGTCATGGGGTCCTGCTCCAGGCTCTGGCATTGACTTGCTGTGCAGCCCTAGCCAAGTTACTTAACTTATCTGGAGAAGGAAATGACCAGGCTACCTTATTTTTAAGATCCCTTCTGGCTCTTTGCATTCAGCTATCTTTCTGTTACTGATTTCTAGTTTAGTTGCATTGTGATTTGATGGCAGACATTATCTGTTTCCTCTTCTTTTAATTTTGTTAAGGTGTGTTTTATGGCCCAGATTATCAACTATCCTGGCGAATGTTCCATATGGTGGCTCTTGCATTCGATGATTTTAAATGTTGCTAATCATACCAGGTATGATGTTACTGCCTAGAATTTGACACTGATTCAGCATTATTTTGCCTTAAAATAGTGTGTTAAATGGAGAGAAAAAGACCAAAGGTTGTAAACTTTTCCCTGGGAATGGGACCTAATAGCCCCTTCCTGCACTGACCTCCCTGAAACCATGGCTCACAACTCAATAATCTCTCTGCTTTCAATATCTGCTCAGAATCCTCCAGAGTGCTTAGCTTCCACCCAGCATCCTCTGCAGGCCTCCGTCCCTGCTGGGTTCACATTTCATTCATCCTGCACACAGGGAGATGTAGACCCTGCCTACCCTGCATGTGCCATTGTCTCTGATGGAGTCCAGCAAGGAGAAAAGCCAGTGGGCCTGGCATGCCAGACTCCAGCCAGACCCTCTGGGCTTCACCTGCAGTGTTTCTGGTCCACGTTCCAGAATTCTGGGGCCAAACTGGATTCAGCCTGAATTCAGGTGACTGGTGGGTCAGCACCCAATGGTAGGGGAAAAGACAAACCAAACATCCCCTCTACTGAACATAAGATGTAAAGAAACAGAACAAAACATTTTGGATCCTTTCTCACCTGTCCTAGCAGTTTTTATCAAATCTCACCAAGGAATACTGGATCTGGGGTTAGAAGAATCAGATCTCCATTCTCTGCTTCTGGGCTCCCCTATATCACTCTGCCTCTGGGCTAGGCAGGTTTGGGGTTCACCAGAGAAAATCTGGAAATATTCGTTTATCAATCATTCCCATCGAATTTAGGCCAAATAGAGAAAGACTTTAAAAAATGAATCTTTTTTTCCTGTTTAGGCTTTTTATTCCAGCCTATGTGAATAATCAATCCATCCAAAATATGGCTGTACCTCTAGTCAAAGGCACAGTATTACATTTACTAACCATTTAGAAGAGGCTACAGATAATGTCCGATGGAAGTTTCTCTGAATAACCGAGAATGAGAATCTAGAGCTGAAAATATCAACAGAAGTTACTTAAACGAGTCTCCATTTTGCATATGGCAACACTAGGGCTGTGCAGGTCGACTTCATCAACAACCCTAAAGACCTAAAATAAGTTGTTCGAATGGGAATTAAGTGAGACCCTCCATGAATGCCAGCCCTGGGACATTAACAGTGTGATGTTTTCAGAGCAGAATGGAATCTGATATTTACTCTATCTCATTGCCAGTCCAAGCTGAATATGTAAAATGTCCTAAGAACATTTTATCTCCCCTCAGAATGTTACTTTTCCCTGGGTCTTTTTATTTCTTTATACATTTTAGATGTGATCATTATATGAGCCAGACTATGTAGATATATTCCTAGGTTCTTACACTCTAAAAGGTGACACTTAAAAAAAAAAAAAAAAGGCAACAAATGTGTTCTCCCCAGAGCTCCCAGCCATTTCTCTTTTCTAACCGCCTCCCCTGCTAAAAAACAAAACAAACAAAAACGTCTTCTCCTCCCACTAATGACGTCACAACAGCGATACCTTTGCTTACTTTCTCTCTCCTTCATGCCCTGTCAGCTGCACGCAGGAGGGCAGTGTCCACTGTGTCCACTCTTCAACAATATGTCCACTGCTACAGAACAGTGCTTGACACCCAGTAGCCATTCGATAAGTATTTGTTAAACGACTTGGTTACTTTCTGAAAATTTATGTCTATCCTCATTCCTTCTCAGTCTCAAAAAAAATCTGGGAAACAGGAGATTTGAGGTAAAATTGGATTGTTTTTATTAAACTGTATTGGTGGTTCTCAAACCTTAGTACAGCAACAAGTCACCCAAGGCACTTGTTAAAATGCAGATTCCTGTCTGCCTCCTCCCCCTCTCCCAGTTCTGATTCAGTAGGTCTGGGTGTGGCCCAGGAATCTGAATTTTTAAGCAAACACCTTGGGTCTTCCTGGGCACCACACCACCCACAGTGGAATTATAGCAGGGGTAATGGGCAGAGGGACAGAGAATGACAGGGCTGGGAGAGATCATCGAAGTGCATTTAGTCCAATCTCCTCACCATTCAGACAAGGGAGCTGAGGCCCCCTGTGCACAGGAGCTGGCCTGAAATCATCTAGTGCATTGGTGGCAATTTGAGAGGGTCTTCTGAGTAGCTTCATGCATCCATTCTCTTTGCAGAGTCTTTATACTGTTTACTTTGTAGTCTAACATGTGTTCGCCGCCTTGTTTCTCAGGCTATCTCGTTAACATATTTAAATGACATTTGCTGGTGCCTGGTTTTATCCGAGCAGCATCTCCTCTGTTTGGACTCTGTTACTACCCTAAGTGACACCAATTACCAAGAAGCATCCCAGTTTCCTGAAAAAATACTTGAAATGACCAACTAATGAGGACATTAAGTATATTTTCTCATTAGTAATTATGTAGGCTCTGAAGCCAAGCCTGGTATCTATACATACTTGTATTGCTAAATTAAAAGCAACTGTGAGGCAGAGAATAGCTACATTTCGAGGAGAAACAAATCAAACGTGACATGTTTTGACTGCACTGATATACAATGATCTGAGCTCACTTTTGAAGGGGAGAAGTTTGGCCCAAAGGAGAAGTGAAGGTCCCAGAGCCAGGAACACTTCCCAGGGTGAGGAGCCTCTCTTTCTGGCCTCCAACACATGCAAGCATTCCCTCTGTGACTTGGAACGCAACTCCTCCACCTCACTTTCCCACAAATGAGGAAAACCACTCACTCACGACCTTAGAGGCACACATGCCGGAACAAGGTTAGAACATACCTATCTGGCAAACATTATCTCAGTTCTCGATTTGCCCGATTCATGGGGAAAACTGGCATTGTCAACAAATTGTCTTGGTCAAATCAACTGTCTGACTCAAATCCCACAGGGCAAATTCTTATTTAAAATGTAATAAATTATGGACACACACTAGAATGGTAACATTTGTTACCACTGAAGAGTGGGATTAGTTAGGAATCAAGGAAGAGGAGACTTTCATTTTTCACTTTGTCTTCTTCTAAATGGTCTGCCTTTTAAAGAAAACCAATGGGTATATATTACTGTTTTATAATTTTAAAAACCTAATAAAGCTTCTATTAAAAAAAAAACTAGTAAATTTGCATTACAGAGACGTGGCAGTATGGTGAAATAGGAACTTAATACTTGAGTGATGAGATTCAGATCTAGCACTAGCTCTTGCCCCTGACCTTAGGCAAGACACTTAAGCCCTGGAAGCCTCTGTTTACTCCTCTGAAAATATGGCGGTTGGATTAGATGATCTCAAAGTCACCTCCGTTCTATGCAAATGTATAGAAGGAGAAGGTATTATGAAAACTGAGTTTCAATGAATGACCTTTGTAAATAAAGGATGGAAACCATAAATTATAGCACATAAAGCTGTGGCTTAAGTGAAATTATGTAAGAATATATGTGATGGTGCCTAGCTCAAAGTAGGCACCCAATAAATTCATTTTGCTTCATTCATTTTATGGTAATGCTTTTTAGAGAACAAAGCAAGTTCAATCTTGTTAAGTAACTAGTTACTTAACATATTCACATACACACACATACACATATATATCTAAAGTCGTATAAATATAAGATTATTTGCATTTAGGAATAATGAGGTAAACCCCAGAATCGTAAAATCTTAAGAGTTGGAGGGAATTCAATATTCAAAATAACTTCTCTGCTTGTGAGAAATCCTGTTATGTGTTCTCCTTAGTTATTTCGTGTGTCGATGAACTCATGCTTCCACAGCAGCTCCTGTAGCTAAGAGAGCTCATCCTTATCTTCAGAATGAGCTGGAAGAGGCCCCCCTTCTTCTTCCTCTAGATCTGCCCTTGGGAGCAACAGTCCTCTTTCCACAGGGTAAAAGAGTAACCTAATCCTGCCAAACCTTCCCTCTTCCTGTCTAGATATTTTCATTTCCTCCAATCATCCCTTACAAATTTCCAGAAATGGTTTGTCTCCACATCCTTCTTAAACTCCAGTTTGGGAATGGACTTAACCCTTGGAGTGTGGTCTCATAGGACAGAGCCTGTGGGACCACCCCCAACTTGGTTATGGTCCTATATTTCTATTACTGCAACCTAAGGTAATTCAGCATCCCTTCCCTCCACCACACATATATTTTGTTGGTTCATATTGAGAGTGTATGGAATGAAGTCCCAAGATCTTCTTAATGTGAACTACTGATGGGCCAAGGCTCTCCCATGTTTTGAAATTCTAAATGCTGAGCTTCACATTTATTTTTGTTAACTTTCTTCATGATGGCTTTAGCCCATCCTGTTCCAACCTGTCGAAATCACTCTGAATGTTGATACTGACATCCATCATATTAGCGATCCCTCCCAGATTTCTGTCATCTGCAAATGTGATCAGCATGCCTTCTATGCCTTCATCCAAGTTTTTGATGAAAACTCACTGTATTTTTAAAAAGTCTCTTAATTTAATTGATTTTGGTCCAAGTTTTGATAATTTTTTAGAGCTATCTAAAAGCAGGAGAATCCAAGTTATGAGGTTCAACCTGATTCCAAAACAATGCAATTAAAATAAATATGCTTTACAAAATTGAGCAAGGCCCCCAAAGGTAGTATCAATGTGACCCAGACTCTGGCATGGCCAGCCTGCTATTTTGGACAAAGCTAACAATTAAATTGGATAAATGTTTGTTGTTGAGGATGATGACTCTAGTCTAACACACTGAATAGTGCAGAGGCAAGCAAACACACTGGATTGATTTTTCAGTGTGGAGACAGTTCCCAGCTGGGACAACTCAAAGTGCTGGGTAGGGTTTGCCACTGAATGACTAATTAGGCCACGTAGACCAATAATTGGATAATTTGGGGCCAAAAAATCACTCTGGGGGCCTAAGTTCTATGGACTGACCATCAGTAGCGATTTCCAATGCCCTGGAACAACGTCAAGACTGTTCTACAGGCTTGGCGTAGGCAGTGTGGAGCAGCTTCATCAATTCAGACAAATTGCATAAGGGGAGGCCCAAAGTTGCTTCAGGGAGGAGATGTTGTTATTTCTAGCACCCACTCTCATTGAAACCAAAGACACAGTGAAGCATGGTATTTAGGAACACAGACTTTGGGGTCCAACACACTTGGCTTCTAATTCTCTCTCTGATAAATATCAGCTATGTGACTTTGGGCACGTCACTCCTTTAACCTTTCCCAGTTTTCATTTCCTCATCTGTGAAATAGATGATAACACTTACTTAATGGTATGGCTACATGGACCGTGACATGTGTAGCTTTCATACATTCAACAAATAGTAAAGTAAGAAGGGTCGGTCAGGGAGATATACGCACAGGGCACTGTGCTAAAGCTTTGACAAATAGCATCTTATTGACTCTTCTTCACAAACCACCCCAGGAAGTAGATATTATTGTTTTTACTCTGTAACACAGATGAGGAAACTGAGGCATTACAAGGTTTAATCGGTTGCTCAAGGTCACCCATCTACTAAATGACGGTGTTGGGATTTTCATCTAGGCCTGCATGGTTCCACAGCCCTAAGCCCTTAACCACTGCATTATTCTGTTAGACTATTATTTGAGACTTGACTTTAGTTCAGAGATGCTACTTGTAATCAGAATAAGAGTCCTCAACCTTTGGTGCTAAGGGTCTACCATGCTTCTCATTCAAAGTCTCGTGATTAGGTGTGCAGAGGAAGCTTCACAGCCTATAATGAGAGTCAGGATGAGGCAAGGAGGATCGCAGAGGATATACAAATCACCCCTTCATTTCCGTCAACATTGCAACCCAGAAGGAAGGCACATAGCAGACACACACACACACACACACACACTCTTTGCCAACTCTTCCATCAGAAGTCTGAAATACTGATTAGATCTGGGGAGGGCAATCTGGTAGTAGCTGCCAAGCCAGATCCACCAACTGAAGATCCCTGGACTGGACTTTCTCTCTCATCCGTGTGCAAACTGTGTTTCTAAGTTTTCTTGTATTAGAGAGGGGGTAGCTATCCTCACAGTTCACGGGTCTTTAAATGGTGAAATGAGACAATAGACTGCAATGTATAGCATGCAGAAATAACTCCACAATTGTGGTCTTTTTCCTTTCTTTCCCTCTCTGGTGAGACCCCTTACTAGAAGTTTGCTTCTCTAAGTCTTTTTCAAAACTGCCCTCCAGTAATATTTATACATTTGCTCCAACAAACCCTTCTCATGGTTCTCCTCTGTGTTATCCAGATTTCTGGGAATTTTCAGAGTTCAAACTGATGATATTTTACCACATCTCTTAAGAGATACAAATATTGATATGCTTTGGTTGACTTAAATAACAATCCTGGTACTCATTTATGGTTTTCAAAACCATCACTCCTGTGTGGCTGATGTTCCAAACATCCCTCTGGGGTTAAATATTATAATCATCTCCACTGTAGGGATGAGAAAGCCAAGAGCGGGAGCCAGGTGACACTGGCAGGAAGCAGCAGAAGCAGCGTTCCATCCGGGTCCCCCTGACACCTCCCAATGTCAAGACCAGAGCTCACTCCTCTCCATCAGTGGTCTAATCCCTCTGAATAAGCAGCAGGTCAATCAGTGTCAATGCAATTGGGTAAACTGCTGAAGGATGACTTGAGGCTCACCCAGATGTTTTGATCACAATATGAAAAAAGCACTAGCCACTTCCTCTAAACCACAAAAGACATCTACACATTGTAATTCACCTGTGCAGATTTTCATTGGCACAACTACCAGGAATCCTGCAACAATGGTATGACAGGTGCAGCACTGTCAGGGTCATTTGTTAAGGCATTTAGAGATCCAATAAGGCAAAAATGATTTGGTGCAATGGATGCACCAGAATTGCTAAATGAAGTGAGAAATACAGGAAAGGTATGAAAACTGTTTAGTCCAATGCCAGGCACAAAGACATTCAATCAACTCATGTTACTAGTATCATGAACAGAGACCTGATCATTCATTTGAAAAGTAGGACATCATAAAACTTACTCTGGAGTAATCGAGATCTCTGGGTGTTGAGTCTGTTAAAGCTCGGACAAGGGCATTCATCATACAGATCGGAGGAGAAGGTGGGGAGGGCTGAGAAGGTTCCTGCTGTAATGGGCTCTTTGGTTTGGAAGGCAGCCGACCTCTCCTCCCTTTCAGACTATCTGTACGGACAACTGATGCCAAGAGAAAGAAAGAAAAAAGAAAGAAAAAATGTCTTCAAAGATATCCATGAAGAGCCATAAATCACAAAAAGGAATCAAAACACATTACAGCTGAGCAATCATTAATGAGACCAACCATTTCAAAGTGGCAATAAGTTTGGAATTATATCCACACAATGATTTAATGAGAGTTGAAACAAGCAGCATAAAAGTCACCCATACTTACATGTGGTAATGAATTAGCCCTAAAAGTCTCCTTCTTAAATAGAACAGAGATGTATGTACACAAGCTCTCTATTGATTTTGAGAAATTAGAATAAGTAGTCCTCAGCTATTTTTAAATGGTAATACACACCATGAAAGTAAAATGTTGGAAAGAAAGGGAAACTAGGAAAATTCACCCTCCCAACATCAATATTAACATTTTTTCGGTGATATCTGAGAATATGTATAAGCAAGCTGAATAAAAAGCATTATATCCATACCTTCTTTAACCATGCCAACACTGAGACACTTCTGAAATCGACAGTACTGACATCGGTTTCGACGTCTCTTGTCTACAGGGCAGTTTTTATTTGCCAGGCAAACATATTTTGCATTTTTCTGAACCGTTCTCTGAGAAAACACAATACAGAGATAGTCAACTAATAGTTTCTGGAAAGAGGTAGGACCTGACAAGATGTATTTTAATTACAATGTGAAAAGCGACAGTGCAATTCGTATAATTAGATAAATTTAATTTCCTAACACGCTAGCCTGCAGGAAAAACAATTTTATTAGTGTTAGCTGCTGACAATGAAAATCATCTCGGATTGTTCTGAAGCAAGTCTCAGGAGACACCCAAGTCTGAATGATAAAATCATATCTGAAATTACCAGGTCAACATATCATACCTTGGAGGATTAGATTATCTCCACTTTTAATATCCCTTTGGGAACAATTTTCTACTTGTTCCACTCCCCTGATTATTGCTGACCTTATTAAAATAAAATCAAAATTATCTGGGATGTACTTTGTTGGCTATCACTATTGTAAGTCAAATATCACAGTAACTGGCTTTGTTCCCCAATAGAGATGAAATCATAAAAAGCAAAATCAGGATTTGACTAGTTAAAACACACAGAAAATGTTTTTATGTAACAAAAATCACTATCACTTGATCTGCCTATCTCACTTATTTTATTTTCAAGATATTAAGATAAAATGTATTAAGAGAATATTCTCTTAAGAGGATATATATTGTAAACTGGTTATTTCTGATTTTTGAAAGCAAAATCTTAAAATTGGTTACCAAAAACCACTATCACATCTGAAAAAAACAAACAAAAAGAGTAAAAAAAACCAAGGAAATGTGAGAACCATAAATTTTCAATAAAAATTCCTATTAATAGGTTATTTCATAAATGACTATTGACATAGACATCAAAATAGCCACACTGTAAACAACACATCATAAACCTTGGACTTGGATATAAAATTATGTTTTATTCTTCAGAATCACATATAATTTTAAAATGACACATGGAGAAATAATGAAGCATATTTTATGCTCCAGATTTTAAAAAACGATTGATTTAAAAAAAAATTAGAAACATTTGTGCAAGTGGATGTATTTACCATTTAGGGTGAAATTATTCAGAAATTACCTGAATCTATACAACTCCAAATAGAGCAGACAGTTGGAATTTATTTGGTAAACCTGGGCTGCATGAAAGACAGACAGACAGAAAGAAAGAAAAAGAAAGAAAGAAAGAAAGAAAGAAAGAAAGAAAGAAAGAAAGAAAGAAAGAAAGAAAGAAAAAGAAATCCAGATAATTTGGGATTGGTGATCTATTTTGGGTCCAAAATTCTAGAATTACTTTTAATCTTTTCCTTTTAGCAATTCTCAACCCCCATGTATTAGTTTTCACCCTATCACCTTTTAATTTCATTTTAGGGAATGGTTTCTAAACTGCTTCTATGACTTTAAAAATCTACCAAAGCCAGATCCATTTAGTTTAAAATGCAAAATTCCAAAACACAAACATATCTCTGAGTTTCCAGCATTTAAATTCTCAACAGTCTGTAAGGGTAGGAAACTTATGTTTCCTGAATGAAGCTCTCTTTCATTGGACATGCAGTAATTTCTAAAACTCTGTTTCTTGCCATCATCCTCAAGGCTATATGCCAATTTGAGTGCTGGTAGCATTTTGCTTCAGGTATACATCTTCCCAATAACCCGAAACCTTCCTCACATTTGTGTGTGCCTGCACAGTTTAAGGACAGGGAGAGATCGTTATGGTTCAATCACAGAATTCCCATCATTAACTGCACCTCATGTCACATTTTTAAAGAATTCAATTTAATGGTAGAAAGCCACTGGGTAAAACCTGCTCCTGTTCCTTTAATTAACAGATCTGTGGGGTGGTTCTCCCCCATCCTACCCCCACCCTTTCAAGTATAGATTTGTTTTCAAGGCATTGCTGCAGAAAAGGGACGCTGTTGGGGAACACTTAATTGACATTTCTAGACTAGGAATGTATTACCACTCCTGTATTTTGGTTAACTCTCAATTATTCAGAGGTGATTATATTTGTGGGTTAGTCGTACTTCTCTTAATTGTTTTTCTTTCTTTTACCCTTTTTGGCTGCCTGTTTCATTGCCCTTCAGCATTTCCACTGAAATACTGTGAAAATGAAATCTGCTACAGGAATGTGGTTAACTTGGAAAGAACCCTGGTAAAGCTTGAGCAGTTCAGACAGAAAAAAAATGGCTAAACTGAGGGTTCTACATTTAAAACATCATACTTCTGCATACTTCCTAAATGGCACTGACATATTGCAAAGTCTTTCCACAAGCATTTTCTCATTTATCTGCAGAATTTAATTAATCGCATGATGCCTAACCCCAGATCAAAAATAACTGTTGCTTGCTGGTAGGTATACCAATCCACACACATGTGCATTTTAATAAATACTTTGTAGTTTTCATTTAATAATGAACTACTGTTTTATGGCCCTTTAAAGATTATAAACTGTGTCCATAACTGTTTTATCTAATTTAATACTCATAGCCCTTCTCTGAATTTTATTCACCTGATTGGAAAACGGAAGCCTAGAAAGACATACCATGTTCAACGTCATGGATTGGTAGGTGACAGATCAAGGACTCCTATTTGAGTGTTCTGACACCAATTTTAGCACACTCCCAGATATATGCTATTGGCCTCCCAAATACTAGTTACCCAATCAGCATCTAGCTTCCGGTTTCCCTCCACCCTGCCCAGTACTGGAGTCTAGGGAGTGGTTTTTGTGGGAGAACATTTGAGGGTTTGCAGATGCCTGACATAATGGCCAAGGGAGTGGGGAGGGTGGCACAGAATTAAGTGTCTGAGACGTCTGGGAGTTGATAGCAAAAGTAGAGCAGCAAGAGTTATTCTCTTCTCCCCCTCAACAGTAGAAAGAGCGCTGACCTCAAGCGTTGAAAGAAACCAGCTGGACCTGCCAAACATGCCACTAAATCACCCTTTATAGAATGCACCAGGCTTCTCGTTCTAGGCTTCAGTTTACTCAGGGGTCAGACATGCGGGAAGCTGAAGACCCTCCCATGGTAAAATTCTCCTTTGGGTCTATGAGATAACCAACAGTGTCCACATCTGGCACTGTGGGTGGCACAGGGATGCAGTGGACTGGTGAGATCCCAGCTTCCTTCTTCTACAGAGGGAGCTGCCCCAACCTACAACCAGCCAGTTGCTCCTGTCTATTCTGCCGTTTTAGATCTACGAAGAGGGTGTGTACTTTGGGAACAAGCAAACGTGAGTTGGCATCCTGTCTCCTTCTCACTCTGAGTGTGTGTCTTGGGGTAACTTGAATAACCGCTCTGAGCCTCCACTTCCTCATCTGAGAAGCAAGGATAATGAATACCTACTTTCAAGATACTCTTAATAAAAATAGCTAGTGGGTGGTCAGAATTCAATCTCAGGTCTGATTCTAGAGTCCCAGCTCTTACATGAGGATTAAATGAGATACAAATGTCCAGGGCCTGGCACACAGACCCCATCCCCTCAGATACCCTGCCATGGACAGAGGAGGACTACAATGAGGCTTCTGCATTTTTTTTTAAGGCGAGGGATCCTTTTGAGAATCTGCTGCAGGCTCTCTCCAGAAAAATGCTCATAAGGTAAAGCCAAGTCAGGAGGTTCACACCCCCTGGAGTCCATCCAGGTGGGCCTCCGGTGATGGACCTCAAGTTAAAAACCCCGGAGAGAGTGGGTGTGAGGGTGCTAGGAATGGCTACAGGAACGCACAGGATAACAATGCCACTCCTCTAAGGGGAAGAAGGCCCCTCTTGGACGCTCACTTGAGCGGGTGGCAGAGGAGGCTGGCTGCAGAGGGGAGGGGGCACCAGGAGGAGGCGTGCGCTCACCTTGAAGAAGCCCTTGCAGCCCTCGCAGGTGCGCACCCCGTAGTGCTGGCAGGCGGCGTTGTCCCCACACACGGCGCACGTGCCCTCCCCCGACGACGAGCTCCTGTTGGGCGGCGACGGCAGGCTGGGGCTCTCGCCCAGCAGGCTGGACGCGGTGGGGGAGGCCGTGAGGCCGAGCGGCGGGAAGGCCAGCGCGGCCGCCCTCTTGGCCAGCGGCAGCCCGTACGGGTGGCCCTCGAGCGCGGCGGCCTGGCTGCTGGCGGCGGCGGCGGCGGCTCCCAGCGGCAGGCTGAGCGCGGCGGCGGCCGTCGGGTCGTAGCCCAGGTGGTGGCCGCCCGCCGGGCTGGGGGCGGGCGGGTGCGGCGGCGAGGGCTTGAAGTGGAAGAGCGGGAAGCGCGCGGCCACGGTGGGCACGGCCTTCATCGGCGGGTCGAGCAGCGGGCCGGGAGCGATGCATCCCTGCGCCGAAGGCAGCGCGTCGTCCCACAGCGCCCCCGCCTGCGGGGGGAAGCCCGGTGTGGTGGGTGTGGATGGCGGGGACTGCTTGAAGTACATGGAGGTGCTGGGCAGCACCTCGTCCTCCGGGCCGGACGGGGGCGGAATGGACGGCTGCTGCGGCTGTGGCTGCGGCTGCTGCTGGTGGTGGTGATGGTGGTGATGATGGTGATGGTGGTAGTCGTGCGCGCGGCCCTCCTCCATCTTGATCAAGGGCCGCGGCCCGGACGGCTGCATTTGGTACAGGCAGGAGGGCTTGAGTTCGTAGTTGCTCGAGTAGCCTTCCATGAAGGTACTGAAGCTGGGCAGGGACGTGGTGGCGGTGGCCGTGATCTCAGTGCTGCCAAGGTCCATGGTCAGCTTGGCGTAGTCGGGGTTCATAATCTCCGTGGTGTATTCCGAGCCGTAGGTCTGCACTGCATAACTGGAACCTGGAGGCGAAGGGCTATATTGGGCTTGCACGCAGGGCATATCTGCAGGGCAGGGAAGAGGGTCCGTCAGAAGCAGGTCAGCACTCTCTCCTAGCTGACAGGTAGCACTGGATTCACTGCTCTCTAATCTGGGAAATGGGAGAGGAAGGGCCATCCCTTTCTCCTTCTGGTAGCACAGATTTAAAGCTTCATGCTTTACTTTCTTCCCCGGGGGAAGAAAGCAGAATCCCTGACAGACTGTCAAAGGGGCCATAGAATGCCAAAACCAGGTCTCCTGGGGACCTCTGCCCACCTTCCTTCTCCTGCCCTTGTTCTCCACCAGATCTGGGAAATTGGATTCCTTCTTTCAATAAGCCCAGTGATGTTTTGACAAGGTGGTTTTTGAGCCCTATAAACTAATTGGGGATGGTCTCAGCCACAAGTTGGGAGGACAAAAAGAAAGCCAGTGAATGCTCTGTTGGTTTATTTTTGGGGAAAGAGGCCACAAGTCCCCAAAGTCACACGCACTGATTTAGAAATCTATGAGTTAGTTAAAAAAAAAAAAAAAAAAAAAAGGCTGTCCTACGTGGGACTTACTGGCCAAGGGAGACTGACATTCTAACATTTTATGAGTGCCAACTGAGCCTACCCACACACGTTGTGGTCGCTTTCTCCCACCCCCTCCCCATTTCTCCAAACACAGCTCACAGCCTACACAAACTGGACCCCTGTTGATGACTTCAGCCAGCTAGGTGGAGAGGTGGGAACATAGGCCCAGGAAATGGACTCGGGGGAGTTTGTGCCATCTGCAAAGAAAAAGATCAGCAGCTGCAACAAAACACCCACCAAACGTGCTCTCTGCCATATACAGTATATATATATATATATACATATATATATATTTCCCCCAATTCTGACTAATAAAATATATCAGTGGCTGTTTTAAGACAACAGTTTACAGCTACTGTAATAGGTGAGTTAGCCTACAAATTTTCTTATGACAGAAGAATTAGTACCTCTGCAAAAGAAAGCAGTTTCTTAGTAGGTTCAGTTTCTCTTCCAGTTGACTATGATGAGCTCCCAAAGGGACTAGTATCCCCGGATGCTTATTATTGTTCAGAGAGGTTGAGCTGGATGAGAAGGTCTTGAGAATTATTGGATCTGATGGCTGATTTTTTTTTATCCAATTATTTCCCTTTCTGTATGGCTAACTAGAAATGATAAAATGGGCAGTTTCTGGTGGTTGGTTTTTCTGAACCAGAGGAAAAGCAGGTGCTTCACCTCTGTTTGGAGTCTATGGTATAGAACTTGTGACTAATAAAAAAAGGTGAGTATTTCACATTTCCTTTGACATCTTTCTCTTACCCACATTTCCAAATCTGATTGAGTCATGCGTGTATGGGATGAAATCTTGACTGGAAAAAGGGTGATGAGGGCCTGTTGGAAGAAGCAGTGATAAGGACAGGCCAGTTCAAGCCTTCATTTTCTAAGAAGGGCCTTAAAAACACTCACTAGTTTGAAGTTCAAGGATTACTTATCCTGCTGTCTTGTTGTTGGGGTGAAATGAAAGGCTAATGATTTAAAAGAAAGAACACTGCCCGATGTTCCATCTATTCTCCTTCCTTCAGCACCTCTACGATCTCTCCATTCGTCTTCTGTCATCTTTCCTTGGCAGTCTCCATGCATTGCTCTTCTTTGCGTCTTTCTGAGGTTTCCAGCTAGAATATGAGTTTGCTTGGTACTAAGTTCTATTTATCTGCATATATAGATTACACAGTCCAGGCACCTGGTATCTCTTGGTGATTACACAGTCCAGGCACCTGGTATCTCTTTAACAAATGCATAAAGAGGTGTTATAAGCCAAACCTGCAATCCTTTCTTTGGCTCAATTCGAATTTACTCCTTGGTTTTCAGCTCAAATGCTTTTCCTCTTTTCCTCTGTCTGGGCTTTAATAATCCCAACCTCTGCATCAAATGATTTGGGTTTTATACAAACATAAATGCTCTGTATTGCTCAAAGCGAGCTCATAACTTTTACATGCATAAACTGGATATAAAAGGAGAGCAAAAATGGAGACATTAAAATGTATAAAAAGATTCTAATCTATTGGTGTATGACATTTTTCTTAGGAAAAATATTTTTGAGAAATGCAACGCTTAATTTAATCTGGCTGCTCCACTAGGTAGCAACAGGGTGTGGTATCCAGAGGAGCTTCGTGCAAGGAAGCCACCTGTGCTGTGAAATGCGTGGCCAGCAGTCACTGTCCTGGCGCTGGTCAAGTTGAACAGCCTGCCTTCTGGGTGTGTGGCTCCCCCCACCCCCACCTCTCCCAACCTGGGAGGAATAAGGGGGTCAATGCCTTCAGACCTACCTGGAGGATATCTTGCGCGCTGAATGGTGGGGCTGTGGGTCTCTCCAGCGGAGGCTGAGAGGGTAGGCGGCGGGGACGTCCGGCGAGGCGAAGCGGTGGCAGTGCTGCTGCCTGGCTCCGCTGAGGGTCCAGGCTCAGGGCCGGGGCTTGCCGGACTGCGCTCTTCCGCAGTAGGCTCTGCGGGCACCGGGAGAGAGGAGAGAGCTCAAAGTGAGACCAGGGTGGTCGTCGTGGCCTGGGCTGGGCGTATCGGGAGAGGGTGGTTTGGTAGGGGGTCACTATGCATGCTACGTTAATTACAAAGAATTGTAAGGGCAAGGAAGCAGTTCTTAAGGTGAACGGGGTCCCTGGGCAAGAAGCATCACACCGCCTTGGGGGGGAGCCACAGAAAGGTCGTCAGGCACCCACTGCGCTCACCGCCGTTTTGTGGCACCCAAACCTCGTCTAAAAATACGTGCATTCTGTAATCGCCCAGAAATTGATCTCTCTTGTCCCCACAATTGGTTCTGAGCTCGCCAAGTCAGGAAAACCAAAGAAAGAGCACCCGAGGACGAGTTTCGACCAATTTGAGAAGTCAGTGAGTGTGCACGAGCGGAAAATAGCCGTTTTCCAACTCCACTGTCCCTCCCCCCCCAAACAGAATTTACACGTTGCATAGGAAATGCACAAGGTCCGGAACGAATGCGTGAATGCCCCGAGGAATTAAGAAAGTCTGCGCTTTTCATTCTAAATGCTAATGGAGCTTTGCTTTTATTAGCCGCGAGTTTGGGGGGCCAGGGGTCAAGCAAACAAAAGGGCACAGTGGAAATAGGCCCGCGCTGGAAACAAGGGGACAAGGTAGTTGCAGTTCCAGGCTGGTGGGGTGGGCGGAGGGAGGCCCCCTGCACCCAGCAGGAGGTATCCCGGAGGGTGGGCGACTTCGAGGTTCGGGGCCATCCGGCGGCCCCGAGGGGGCACGTTCCGGAGGGCGCCGAGCGCGGCTCCGGGGCGAGCGTCTCTGCGCATAGCCTCAGCGAAACTTTGTAGCTGGAAGCGCAGCTCCGCGGGCCTTGAGGGAAGGATCCACTGCCCCAAACTCTGGCCTACAGCGCCCCCTTTGTCTGGACCCATTCATATCTCGAGGGTTGGGAACGTGAAACCGAAAAAAAAAACCAAAACACACCCCAAAAAACCCTAGGGGGTGCGCGGGCCGAGAGGGGCGTGTAAGTTTCGTCCCCCGCGCCCCTGAGCCAGCGGCTTGCCTGAAGGAAGAGGGGCGTATCTGAACCCCCAGGTCCGGTAAGCCCTCGAAAGCCAGGAAACGGGGGATTCCCTTGCCACCCCCAGCCCCAGCCCTGCCCCGGCCGATGGTACGGAAATCTTGCGCTCGCTCTAGCGCAAGCACGGGCGGATCTTCCCACGGCTGTGGCACGAGCTTCCCGTCCGCCCAGAATTTTCAATACGGGTCTCCAGCAACCTCCCACCACCTCCTGCAGTAGGTGCCCTCATTCCTGCCCTCCCCTGGGTCCTTTCGAGCATAGTCTTTCTCCGAGGATCGGCCTCTGACTCCGCTGGGCGAGGGTTGCGTCTCCTCAAGGAAAGGGCTCCCCTCGAGCGCCGCGCGTTCGCGGGAAAGAGTCACACCACGTTTCCTACAGCCAAGCCAAGAGCCCCACGCCCCCCCCCCCGCCCACTCCCATGGCCGGTTACCTAGGCAAAGCCTCCGCGCCGGGAAACACGTTCCGCCGCTCCGGCTCGCGGCCGCGGGGGCCGGGAGCACTGAGCCTCGGGTTGTAAATTAGGTAGAAATAACTAGCTCTGTCAAAGCTCCTTTCTTTCTCGTGGGCAGACGAAAGGAACACCCCCATGTTCCCCTCCCCGTGGTGAAGTATGTGGAGGAAACCGTGAAACGCACCATTGTGACCGGGGCTCCTCCGCGGAGTTTCCAACCCTGGGGAGCGGGGGCGGAGGTTGGGCGGGGGCAGTAGGAGTGGAGGAGAGACCGACAGAAAGGGAAAGACAGAGATTCTCAGAAAGACCGAGGGAGAGGAGACAAACCGCGGGGGAGAATTTCTGCGAGCGCGCGGTCGCAAGGAAGGGAGTGGGTGGGTGCGGGGCTGGAGGGAGCCGGTGTGGAGGTGGCTTGGCCTGAGGAGTCTTTGGTATTCACATTAGGAGCACCTTATACAGGTAAGATAACTCCAATGAACTCTAACCTCATTCATTGTTCCCAGTAGCCGCGTTGGGCAGCTTTTTCTTTCCTCAACTCAGTTCTATAAAATATTTCTCCGTCGTGGGAATAGAAGACTCAGGACGGATTTGCCATTAACCTCTCTCCTGGCACCCTAAGGCTCTAGGATAACAGCCCGACATTTCTGATTACCAAACTCCTTGCAGCTCTTCCCTCTGAAGAATCCGGAGGCATAAATAAAAGGCAATCTCCAGGAACGTTCTTTAGAATTAAGGGACAAATGCTTTCTCTCTTAGTACTGACCCAAGCTTCCAACGGGTTCGAGAGGTGCCTTTGGTAGTCTATCTCCGCAGGCTGCGCTCTCATAACCGCTCTCCCCTCACCACTGAGAACTTTCATTTATTTCTATTAAGAGTGAAACACTCAGAGCAACTTCTCCAAAAGTGCGAGTTCTGTCAGTTAAGAGTAAAACATTCCCACACCAAGCCAAGGCCCGAAGGAAAGGAACACCATCCCCACGCGTGTCCGGGCTCGGGAGTCGGCAATTACACCCGATTACCTCTGAAGGGAAAAGTGTACAAGGGCAAGTAGGCTACGCCAGGCAGACGTGCCTAGTGGAGCCCCAGGCTCATTTCAATACAATAAGCCACATTCCTACAATTACACCCTCTTTCCAGAGATCGTCGGAGAGACTTTGCAAACTCCAGCCACTGCTGCCCATGCCCCTTCCCTCCCAAGCTTCCTCCGAGTCAACCAGCTGGAAGTCACCATTAGGTATATTAACTTGGACCCACCGGAGCCTCTATTTTCAATCCTAGTTAAAAGGCAGGAAAATTACTGCCGTTCATCACCGGAGCTGCAACTCCCTGCCGCTGCTGCCGCCGCCGCCGCCGAGAGCATCATTACCATGACAACTAGAGCCGAAATACCCTGAATTACATCGCTGGAGCTGCTACTGAACAAATCCCGGTCCTCCTCTTTGTTAGAGGCTTTTCGCCTCTTCGGGTGGGGGGAGGAATCCCGCGAGCTCTAGAGATCCCCGCGGGCCCGCTACAGGGGAAAAGTTTCAGATCAGAACCCACCGGGCCGCTCGGCGAGCAAAGCCAGAGCGAGGAGGCGAGGGGGAAAAAAACCCCACACTCAAAGTTGTCAATTTCAGGAGAGACGCCTCCCAGCGCGCCAACTTTTTAGCAAGTCCCCCAATTAACTGGGCGAATCTCATACGTACTTGAGTGCTGTGGCGGTTCCGTCTTTAGAGCGAGTTTCTAGAGAGCTGCCCCGAAATCGGTACTGGGGGGGGAGTCACAGCTGCTGTCCCGGAAGGGCTGCTGTGTACAAGCCCAGCGGCTCCCAGAGGTGGCGAGCGTCTGGCAGGGGATGCTGCGATCCCGACTCATGGGAGAGTGCCGGCGAGGGGTTCCGCTGGCGTCCTGGCTCCGGCCGCGACCAGGGGGGAGGATGCCGCCGCAGTTCCCACCTCCAAGGCCACCGCCGGCGCTGTCAGCGTTGCAAAGTGAGTCCGGGAGGGGCGTCCGGCTGCCGCGCGGCTCTGCACCCGCGAGGGCGCAGGGCGAGAGGGGTGTGAGCGCGCGGGAGAGAGTGGAGTGTGTGCGCGGAGCTTGTGTGCGCGCGTGTCTGTGTGTGCGAGTGAGGGAGCGGGTGTGAGCTTGTCTGTGTGTGGGGAGCGGAGGAGGAGCAGGAGCTGGAGGGGTGGGGGGCGGGAGGCAGGAGACTCCGCTCTCCCGGCAGCGCGTTCGCTCGCTCTCTCGGCACGTCATTTATGCCACAGGAGCCCTAGCGGCCTCTCCATAGAGTGCCTGGAATGCGAGACGTCAATGTGACGCCATGGGACGCTACGTCACCCTCCTCCTCCCTCCCCTGGCCTAGCCGGTTCCGCGTGTGCGAGGGTGTGTGTGTGTGTGTGTGTGTGTGTGCATGTGTGTGCGCGCGCGCGTTCCCCGACCATTCTCAGGGCTGCACAATGGAAACTGCGCCGCGCGGCCAGCCGCGGCAGGGGGGCCTTTTGGACCCGCGCCGCCAACCCCTTTGCAGCGGCGCAGCTCGCCAGGGCGCGAGTCGGCTAGAGGGTGCAGCGGCCAGCCGGCGGGTCAGGCGGGACCGCCCAGCTGTCAGGCTCGGGTGGAGTAGAGTTGGAGGAGTGCGGCTGGCGCGACTCCGAGGCTGCCCCGAGGCATAGAGCCAGGGAGAGGGGGTAAGGGAGAGGACAGCTCTTCCGAAAGGGAAGGCTCCGCCAGCCAGCTTCTCCGAGTGACCTGGCAGCTGGTGCAGGAGTCAGGCACCCGCCCGAAGACTCCCTGAGGTGCAGCTGCGCTTTCCTCAAGCAACAGTTCCAAAGCTGTTTAAGCCTCGCTGGCCCTCAGCGTCTAGGCTAATCCATCTCCTCCTCGCATCATTTGCTGAGTGCGTGTTTCGCACTGGGATGCAGATGGCTCCAGGAAGATAGGTCTTATTTCATTATACTAAGGTGTGGATTTCCTAACTGGACCCACTATAACCCAACTGGGTGCACATCCATCATCCACGTGCGCGCTGCAGCAGAAACTACTTAATGTGTGTAAAACAAACACACACGTGTTGAACAGCTGAGCGGGTCTGACTGTTGCAAATCATTCCCCCTCTCCCCCCCCCGCAGAAATGGAAATCTCAGCTCGCACTTTCACTTTTTGATGGTTGCCCCCCATCTGCCAAATTAAATATTTCGAAATCAATCAACAGGATTTATTAGTCCCTCGCCATGGGATTTGCTCTGGTCTTCTGGGACACATTTGTGATGAAATGGTGTGCTGAAAGCCTGGGCGACTGTGTGAGGGAGAGCAGTTTCTTCCTGGAAATGATGAATTTAAGTGTGAATTTCTCAATGCAAACAAAAACAAAAATTTATCAAAGTTAAAGTCTCCTAGTTCCAAA